GGGTGAGGGGGGTGTAGGAGAACCTTGTGCAGCCATAGCGAGGTCGGTTTGCACCTTTGTTCACGAAGAAGAAGAACCCGGCTTTCTGCTCCTCAGATTTGCCACCTTTCTCCTCATCCTTCTCCTCTCCACTAGCTCCCATGACTCCCCCACTCCTCTTGCCACCATGCTGGTTGCTTGATGAATGCGGGGGTCCAATCCTTTGGTCGTTGGTAGCACTTCCGCCAATGATGTCCGTGCTTCTTGCAGTTAGAAGCACACCTCTCCTTGACCCCCGCCGCCATCCTCCTTAGGGTTATCCTTGTTCTTGCCCTTCCACTTCTTCTTGAAGCCACTCTTTCCACCTCCAACTCCATAGCCAGCCCCCTCCTCCGAGCGCTCCACACTCCGCTGCCGCAAGTCTCCTCATGGATGCGCGCGCGAATGTAATCCACGCTCCACTGGGGCTGTTGAGAGTTGAGGTTGATCGCAAGGGCAGAAGAACGACCCGGGCAGCCGTATCACGATCTCAACGCATTGCACGAGCTCCGGATACACCACACCACTGCCTTGGAGCTTCGTAAAGATGTCATGCATCTCGTCCAACACCGGTTGCATCAGCTCTCCATCAACGAACTTGATGTCGCGCAGCTGCTGCGTGAGTAGCACAATGCGGTAGCGTCTGTCGGTGAGTGCACATCCAGAAGCTTACTCCAAGCCTTGGGGCCACATTCTGGATCACCCAAGAGGTCCTTGATGTGGTGAAGTTGGCGTCCTCCAACCGCTTGCACCATGAGCACGTACGCGTCGAACGCTCGCTTCATCCACGCTCCTTTCAGCTCCGCGGCCTCCAGCATCTCCTCCTTCCCCTCTACTTGATCCAATAGCTTGTATTGGGTGTACATCAGCCTCATGCGGAAGCGCCAGTGCTCATAGTCCTCCCCCATGAATTTCTCAATAGAGAAAGCCTTCACAGAATCCACGGTAGTAGGAGATGGTGTAGAAGTAGTAAGTAGCGTAGGGTTGGCTGGTTGGTGAGTCCCCATTCCTCCACCAGCAACCCCCTCATGCTCTCCAACCTCTTTATTTCTATCCGTATCGACACTAGCACCTCCGGAGTTCGTACCAACCATATTGAGGCCTTTTGAATGGTGGAAACTTGAGAAATCGTTTCGAGAGAATCCTGCCAGAACTTTTGATTCTATGAAAAACGCCGTCACGGGCTGAATACTTCGAATAAGAACGCGATTCGACCACCAATCGAAATTTCGCAAGCACAGCCACTACAAAATGGTCTGACTCGTCAACATTGATGAAGATTTCATGACGATTCGTCGACTCAAAGTTGACTACCCGCTCTGATACCACTTGTTGTTCAGGATCCGTCACTTTGAGAGCTTACGACGAACTCATTACTAAACCAAACACAAATCCGCTCCGTAGGATTGTGCGCCTTAGGCTTAGATACCATTTCCAAGTTGAATCAGTCGTTAAGATGGTCTATAGAGTGAGATTTAAGAAGAAACGTCCAGCAGCCGCATGACTTGAATGGTGGAGGAAGTACAAGCATTAAGGCATAGAAAGTTGGAGTTGGGGACTCCAAGAGAACCATGAGAGTGAAGGGGTTCTCTATGAGCTAGGGAAGGATGGTAGAAACCTTCCTAGCAGCAAGGATGCAACCCTCATCATGAGGTCCTTGAGGTGTCACATGCAAAATCCAATCTAGTTGGATTTTACCTCGGTGTTGCAACATTTGCAACACATGCTAGAAACTTCTAGCCACCCCAATCCAAAAGTCAAAGTTGCCTTCCTAACCACCCAACCAAAGATCCCTTTATAGTCATGTCCCAATAATCGCCCACTGTAGATAACATCTCAAAATGAGATAGAATTCCCAAAGCTTGGAAATCTTATAACTTGGGCGATCTTGGTCGGAATAAGGCGATCTTGGTATCGTTGGAAAGCGCTGGATTTCTCCTGCATAATCAAGCATTTAAACTTGGAGAAAAACACAGAGATGATAATATTCAACAGCCATGCACAGTGACATATGCTCATGCAAACAATGCACGCATGAATAGCACGAGCACTCGGCAGGACGTTAGGATGACGTGCACTCAGAATAACGTGCATCCAACACCCTTTTTGTCTCAGGAGCTCCGTGAGTGGTTTGCTCAGCGTGGGGCGGCTGTGAGTAGTGGTTCCTGCCCGTATGTCATTCGCACATGTGACCGCACTGGTCAGACATGCGGGAGGCCTCACACTCAGCACCGCTGCTTTTACGGCCTTACCGACGCCCTTCGCGAAGAGTTTCCTGATGCAACTGAGCTCCACAACTGGGCGGAGCTGCTTAGGCAGAATGTTGAAATCAAACTCTAGACTTTGATGCTATCCTATCTGCCATATATGCATTGACTGTTAGTGCTGAGGGTGACTGTTACCTGTGTATGCTGCCAGACCCAGGTATAGAGGCTGCTGCTCTAGGTGCTAGTGAGTCTGCTGCCCTAGGTGCTGGTGAGTCTACTCTCTCTGGTACTGCATCTGCTGCGGCCCTGCACACCTTCACGCTTGACTCAGGTGCTTCCCGCTGTTTCTTTCACGACAGTACCACAGTCACACCGTTCTCTGCACCTGTTGCTGTCTCTTTGGCTGACCCCTCGGGGGGCCCAGTCCTTGCACGTTCCTCCACTGTTCTGCCCTGTCCGGCGGTTCCGTCTGGGTCATTGTCAGGTCTCCACCTCCCCTCGTTCTCTACGAACTTGGTGAGCACAGCTGTCCTCCAGGATGCGGGGGTTGGCACCTTCACCCCTCGACGTGCTCCCGGACCGGTCGCCACCTGGCCATGTTCACCCGTCGGCCTGGGTCGTGTCTGTACACACTGACTACTGCGCCTCCTCAGGTAGCTGTGTCAGGTCAGCTTGCTGCCCTCTGCTCGTGTCGCGCCCTGTCGCACCAGACTCTCCTTTGGCACCACCGTCTTGGTCACCCCTCTGTAGCACGCCTCCGTGGCATGCACTCCCGTCTCCTTGTCTCTGGTCTTCCCAGGTCTCTGCCTCGCCTCCCACCCTCGCCTGCCCCTCCCTGCCTTCCCTGTGTCGAGGGGCGGCAGCGCGCCGCTCCTTACTCCTCCTCGTCCCCCCCGACAGAGGCTCCTCTGCAGACTCTCCACCTGGACGTGTGGGGCCCAGCCCGCGTCCGTGGACAAGGCCACGAGAGGTACTTTCTGCTGGTTGTCGACGACTACTCGCGTTACACCACGGTCTTCCCCTCGTGCCGCACAGGGGGGGTCCCTGATTTTCTGATCCCTTGGATCCGCGCTGCTCGTCTCCAGCTCCACGAGCGGTTCGAGACGGACCTTCCAGTCCTGCGTCTGCACTCTGACAGAGGTGGTGAGTTTTCCTCCGACCTCTTGCGGGCCTTCTATCGTGCGGAGGGCATTCTCCAGACGTTCACGCTTCTGGCCTCTCCGCAGCAGAATGGGGTTGCTGAGCGACGCATCGACTTAGTCATGGAGGTCGCTCGTACCTCTATGATCCTTGCGGCTGCCCCCCATTTTCTGTGGCCGTTTGCAGTCTAGTACGCTGCGCATCAGCTAAACCTCCGGCCCCGTGTCTCCTTGCCGGAGACCTCGCCCACATTGCGTCGGACGGGGAAGGTTGGCGATGCGTCGGTGTTCTGGGTCTGGGGATGTTGAGCCTTTGTCCGCGATACGTCCGCGGACAAGCTCTCCTCCCGCGCCGTTCCCTGTGTCTTCTTGGCTTTGTCCCTGACGCGCCTAGATGGCAGTTTTACCACCCCACCTCGCGCCGTGTCCTGCCCTCTCAGGACGTCATGTTTGACGAGTCGGTTCCCTTTTACCGTCTCTTTCTCTACCGCACAGCCCTTCTCCCTCCCCCGCCGCTCTTCCTCGCGCCAGGTCCTCCTCCGGTAGACCCCCTTCCCCCTCAGGGTCCTGCTCCCTCAAGTGTGTCCTAGGTAGACCCTGTCGAGCCTGCCGAGGTCGCTGTCTACTCTGGTGCTGCTAGAGGTGTTGCGTCTGGGGGTGCTGAGCCTGCGGATGCGGGGCCTGGGGGTGCTGATCCTGAGCGTGCAGAGCCTGGGTGTACTGAGCCTGGGGTTGCTGACTCTGAGGGTGCGGAGCCTGAGGGTGCTGAGCCTGTGGGTGCGGAGCCTGGGGGTGCTGATCCTGCGGGTGCGGAGCCTGGGGGTGCTGAGCCCGAGCGTGCTGAGCCTGGGGGTGCTGAGCCCGAGTGTGCTGGGCCTGGAGGCCCTTCGGGTGTCTTGTCGCGACCGGAGTCTCTCTCTCGACTGCAGCTGCGCGAGTGGTTTGCTCGGCGCTGGAGCCTCCGGAGTGGTGCTACTGGAGCTGGAGTTGCTGGAGGTGCTGGAGCCCCTAGTCCCGGAGGTTCTCGTACGGGAGGTACTGGAGCTGCTGGGGCTGGAGGTGCTGCTGGAGCTGCTGGAGGTGCTGGAGCTGCTGGAGCAGAAGCTCATGCTAGCGCTGGAGCCACTGGAGGTGTTGCTGAGGCTGGAGCTACTGGAGGTACTGGAGCTGTAGGAGCTGGAGGTGCTGAAGGAGCTGGAGCTGCTGGAGGTGCTGGAGCCACTTGAGCTGGAGGTGCTGGAGCTGGAGCTGCTGGGGGTACTGAAGCTGCTGGAGCTGGAGGTGCTTCTGGAGCTGGAGCTGGAGTTGCTGCTGGAGCTGGAACTGTTGGAAGTACTGGTGCTGTCGGTGCTGGTTCTGGAGGCGCTGAGCGACCGCGACCCTACTTCGTTCCCTTGCTTCAACAGGTTCTTGGTCTCCCGTTTTCTACTGACCTTGCTCCTCCCTTCCTGTGTCCACCGCTTGACTAGTCCCAGCCACAGCTACTGCCAGCCTCCCCGCTGCCTACTCCTTCTCCTTACACCGAGCAGCACGAAGATCTTACTGAGCGTCGTGAGCTTGCGTCTCGTCCTGCGTCGCCTGTTCGCGCGCGTCACACTGGTAGTCGTGTCCCGCGTCCGCGTCCTCCTCTTGTCCCCGGCACGCACTAGATGGCACTTCGTCCTTCCTCTGTTCTATTGCGTGCCCCTCTGCTGTCTCTTCCTGCGTCCTTCCTTGCTGACGGTCTGGACCCGGAGTCTGACTCCCTTCATGCTGCTAGTCCTACTGTCACGCGTCTCCTGGCCACTGTTGTCACTGACCCTTCCTTTGAGTCCACTGCTGCGTCTGCTCTTGTTGCTGAGCTTGTCGACTTTGCTGCTCGCTGTCGTCTAGACTACGCCGCTAGCCTTGTTGCTGAGTTAGAGTTTGTCTCTCCTCCGTCCGTCGGGGGTAGTGTGCTCTTGGTACGGACGTCTTTGAGGACAGGCAGGAGGACGTTGAGTGCTTTGCAGCTGCTATACCTCATCTCATGTCCATGCTGATTGCACCTGAGGAAGACCCGGATGCACCAGACATCCCGTGCTCTTACGCAGAGGCCATAGAGGGTACCTACTCCTCGCAGTGGCAGTCAGCCATGGACGCAGAGATGGCATCCTGGAAGTCTACAGGCACTTACGTCGACGAGGTTCCCCCACCTAGGGCGAACATCGACAGTGGCATGTGATTTTTAGGGTGAAGCGGCCGCCGGGTTCTCCGCCTGTCTTCAAGGCGCGTTACGTTGCACGAGGCTTCAGTCAGCGACAGGGAGTTGACTTCTTTCAGACCTTCTCCCCTACCCCGAAGATGACCCTTGTGCTGCTGCACGTCGCCGCTCAGCGTCACTACGAGCTTCACTCTCGTGACTTCAACACTGCTTTCCTACAGGGCAGCCTGCACGAGGAGATCTGGCTGCGCCGCCCACCTGGCTTCACTGGGTCGTTTCCTGCAGGTACCCAGTGGAGCCTCCGCCGGCCAGTCTACGGTCTCCGCCAGGCGCCTCGC